TGCATGGATATCGTTTGCTGCAATCAAATTTCATTCCAATTTCGGTTGCTGAAGTCCCATGTATGTCTTGATATGTTATATCACTAATCTTTACACCAGAAACCTGAAAAAATAAAACAAAACCCTTTTTCAGAATTAATTGGCAGTTCAATCTTCTAAATTTTCTCGACTTTTTGGCAAACTGATAAGATATTATATACATAAGCGGGGATAGGGATAGGGGTTTGAATTTTTTTCTGATAGAAATAAGAGTAACAATAAAATTTATAATGCGACAATTAATCTTTACACCAGAAACCTGAAAAAATAAAACAAAACCCTTTTTCAGAATTAATTGGCAGTCAATCTTCTAAATTTTCTCGACTTTTTGGCAAACTGATAAGATATTATATACATAAGCGGGGATAGGGATAGGGGTTTGAATTTTTTTCTGATAGAAATAAGAGTAACAATAAAATTTATAATGCGACAAAAGCGATTACTACCTGATTAGGACAATTGTTGTTGTCGGGACAATAATTTTGGTTTATAATTATTGGGTTTTCAACGTTAACCATTGCAATATGCTGGAAAAGAACATATTTAACAAATCCCTTGCTTGGCCTGGCCCATGTCTTCACCCTCACCCCATTTTGAGTTCCTGTAAATGTAGCTGATTTAACTGTTATATTTTGCACTCCAGGTTCTTGCAATTCCCATCCCAGACTCCCAATGCTGCAAAAGGCGTACAAATTAATCAACTTAGGCATAAAGTACTTAATTTATAGCACATATTTAGGTAGGAAATAAATTTTTGAGATGACATAAATGTATCCATTGTGGACTATATATAAGTACAAAGTAATAAAACTAGTACCTTATTCCATGGCCGGGGCCACAGGCGACGTTCTCGATCCACAGGTTGGAGGTTCCAGGGCCTATAGAGACACAATCATCGCCGGTGCCAATTTTTGAGTTCATAATCTTGACTCGTGTTGATTTCTCCACGTGAATTCCATCAGTGTTTGGGCTGTTTCCTGGCGCTGAAACCTTTATTCCCACCAGATTAGCGTTTTGACTTCCATAAACCAGAATGTGGAACTTCTGGCTATTTATTGAAGACAATCCACTGATCCTAATGTTTTTGGAATTGTAGAAAGCCAGTGTCTGCAATGAAGATACAATCAGAAAGTACAATAGAATTTACATACAAATTCACTATAAAATATAAATCAATAGGCATGCATACGATCATGTCATTTACTTTTTTGGTAACCCTTTTTTTATATGGCTGAATATACTAGCTAGTAGAATGAACTACATATTATCTATTTTAACATGCAAAGCTAATTTAGTGCTTTTTTTAAAGCTCCTCCCTTTTCCATTGATGTAATTCTGGAGGTAAGGCTGTCTCGCCCCTCCCACTTATACATCTTTTATATATGGGTTGGGAAGTCCAAACTCAACATTGGGTCGAGGTAGAAGCCAAAAAATCATGCTAGGTATGGATGGTGTTTCAACTAAAATAAAAATTCAATCCGAAATAGTGTACTATTTCAATGATAGTTAAAAGTCGACTTTCGTCTTGTTAACATACCGTTGATCCTTTAGGACAACTCCTACCGGAATTCTTGCAAGCCCACAAATTAGCCCCTTGGCCATCTAGGGTTCCACCAATGACGGAAACTCCGGTCACTCTTTTGAACTTGATCCAGGTACCTGAGTTCCCAATCGTGTTATAATTAGATGGAGCTACAAGAGTGCCATCAATGCGTAGCGTTATAGCCCGACTTCTGCATTTTTGGCCGGAAAAACTTGTGGCACCAAGCAAGAATCTTCCTGATGGCACATGAATCGTGGCTGGCTGTGCAGAGGAACAGGCTGAGGTCCATGCTCTCAAAAATGCTTTTGTGGAATCAGTTTTTCCATCTGGTTTTGCTCCCAAAGTTTGAACATTGTAATTAACATTGACTGCAAATGATGAGTAGTGGAAAAAGGTGAAGAGAAAATGAAAAGCAAGAAAATTCACTAAGAAAGCCATTGTGTGCCTGTGAGAGACACACAGACAAACAGTAGTAGAGAGAGAGAGGAGATATATGGGATGAGGAGTTGAAGCATTGTCAAAGAACTATTTATAGGCTTAATTTAGTGACTTTACATTCAGATTTTAGTTAATGATCTTTGGTCATGTTTACTGTTTACTTACGACAAAAAAAAAAAAAAAAAAGGAAAAAAGAAGAGAGAGAGAGAGAGAGAGAGAGAGAGAGAGAGAGAAGAAAAAACCTGTTTGGAGTAGTAGGAACTTCAAGCTATGTATGAAATATTTTGTACACGACCTATAATTTCATTTTTTGAGTACAATGGGAAGTAAAAAGGAACGAGTGAATAGTGTTGGACACTTCTAAATTTTTGGTTCAACCAAACTCGACATGGGTTGTGTTGTGATCATTAATAGGGGTCCATCCCTGTTGACATTTAAGTATGAATCATCAATTAACTCAACAATAATCGTTCTGAAAGATTATCGTTATTTTATTTTGGGATCTCGAAATCGTTATATTTAATACAATTGGTGATTTGTTTTGTATTCAACTATGTATGATAATGACATCAAGATCATGTACTATAGTCAATTATTATCTTAGAGCAGAAATAATTGAACATAACTCAAAATACAATTAAAAATGCGTCCAATTAACTTGTCTAAAATTCTAAAAATACCATTAATGGCATGTTCAATGTTATTTTTTTTTATAAGAGATTTAGTGAAAAGTGATATTTTTGAATAATGTGTGATTAAAAAAATATGAAAGTTATGCGTTCGCATGCAAAAATCATTTTATTGAAAGACCGCGTTCTTGAAAAATGAGTTTTAAATAATATGTACCAAACATCGCCTAAGATTCAAGCCCCACTAATATAATCCATCGCAAAAGCAAGCCTATTTTTCAATATTTTTGTTATTGAGGAAAAATTCGATTGTTGTTTAGAACAATATTTCATGACCTCTTTTCCCCCTCATTTTGAGCAAATCATCATTTAGGAAGAACATAAAATCACTAAGTTGATCCTTTTGCTATTTGCGACAATTTTTCGTTTATATGTAATTAATAGAAACACTATTTTCTTGTCACCAAACTCCAGGAAAAAACGATTTGTCAAGAATGTCAAGAATCGGGATACTTTTAAGGGATAACTATAAGTTTCTGTTTGAGTCAAGGCAATGAGGCAACATCAAAAGGTTGAATTTTTTGATGCTACCAAGGTTCTTGGCAAGCAGAATTCATTGAGACTTGAAGAAAGGATTAATCTAGAATTTAATCAAAAGTCTTAAACTAAAGTATCGTCATTAACTATTTATGAAATTTCTACTGATATTGTAAATTTGATGAAAAAAGGGATTTCATATGCATATGAAGGACATTGAATATTCAAGAAAAAATAATTGTGCATATTTGCTGTTTGCAACAAATTTCCATACATCACAATTTTAATAACTGAAACTCTTTCATATTGTATTGTCTAATTAGTTTAAGGTAAAAATGGAGTCAATTTTCAAGATGTTCTTCCCTGGTCTTAAGTTACTTCTATCGAAATTCAGTTGGTCAATTTTCATATTTTATTTGAGAATAAAATTGAACAATTATCCATTTGTATAATAATGTCTAAATAATAAAGAATTCCATTTCTTATCAATATTTGTCTAAGAATTTTAAAACCTAGCAAGAATATTATATATCATATTTGATAAAATCTTTTTCCTTGAGATTATACCTTTAATCATTTCATATCAATGAAAATTGATCAATTTTAAACCATAAATTGTATCACCATGCGTACTCTTACTAGTCATGAGTCTAATTATTGTCTCTGTGTGAAGTCCATACGTAGATGATCTTATATATGGGAGTTGTCATTAAGTTTTGTATCATAGAGAGGTTACAAAATTAGGGTGTGCAATTTTTCTTGTAAACTTACTTTCATCATATTGAATTATTGTGGTGGTCAACAAGAACATAGTCTCACACTGAGGTGAACCTTTATAAATTTTATATGTTCTTTTATATCTATTTCCTTAATGCAGTTTTATTGCTCTTTGTAATATATGCCTCTGTTTGACCTCCATTCTCTTACTCTCTCTTATTTTCAACCACACATTTTTCCATAAAATAATATTACACGTAAATAATTTTTTTTTCAACCACACATTTTTCAAAAACACACCATTCTAACCATTAAAATTTAGAAAGAATGGGGGCCAAACGGGGGCATAATAATTAGAGTTTCTAATTTACAACACTAGGCTACATTGGAATAATATTCATGTCTTCCAGAACATTGTTGGCATCATCTCTTTAGGAAAAGGGTTGGCAATATCTTTGGCTGGAAAGTGATTCGACCTATGTGGTTCCATTGTTGTCTTCCAAAACGTTTTCTGTGCCATGGAGCAAACGTATAAATGAGTAAAATGTTTTCGTTATATCTCAAGAATGCATATTAGAGTTTCACATATCTAACACAAAGGCATTGTAGAATGCCTAGCAGCCCATGTTGGTCTACAAGTAATGCTACTTGTACATTATTATTACAGATTGATGTACTGAGAAAGAGAAAAAAACAGTTAGGAAGGGGGGGGGGGGTGGGGATGTAGCATTACTTGGTGGTCTACGGTGCAGAGCTTCTATTCAAGTCTTATTAATTTTGATTTGCCGGCTCATAGTTTGCTGGTTTTACGGACTGTGAAATTGTATTTTTGCTTTTATTTGAGGACAAATCTTAGTTGCAGTGCCAACGTAATTGAGATGTTCCATGAAGAAGTAGCCCCATTTCATTCGAAAAGAAATATACAAAGTCCTCGAAAAGACCATTTTAATTACATAACAAACGCATAATTAGATAGTAATCCTAGCTCTTAATTATTGGAACATATAGTATTCCTAGTACGAGAAACATATAGGAATGGATGGCCAACGAACTGAAGAAGAAGAAGAACAGAGACAAAGTTAAGAAGGTAATTAATTACTTGACCCACACGGCATTCATTCTTTGTTGGTCATACAAAGTACAAAGTGCAGTTTGATTTCCGGATAGAATTATGTTACCTAATTTACTCACTTTTCAACTGAGGTACGCAGATCTGTCTTCTTTTCAGCCCATCTTGTTTTCCGTTTCATCAATGCCAGAAAGCACGCAGTTTATTAGATTAATGATTTTCATTTCTTAACCAATATAATAATTCTCTCTCTCTCTCTCTCTCTCTCTCTCTCTCTCTCTCTCATATCCCGACCTTGTTTTTGGCAACAGTAGGCTTATTCATTTTCGACTGTCCTGAGATTTTAAAAGCCTTATGCCAACTTTAAATATGCAACCCTATAAATATTTAAATAAATATGATTAATAGAAATAATTTTAAATAAAATATTCAACATTATAAAAATAATAATTTAAAATTTTCAAATGTCTAAATAAAATTACTCTTCCAGATTTTTTGATAGAAAATCAACAAGTATACAATTAAAATCAATCTATTTTAGAACTTTCTTGTCAATAGGTAACATGACAAATCGATTCAACCTTTCTTATGATATTGTTCATCAAATGTAAGAGTTTATGACATTGCAGCTCAAAAAATATCCTTTGCCCTTAATATTAGAATTTTTATTGTGCTTCAAAAATTCTTCAAACTTATTATATCAATACTCCAAAGAATTATCATTTGCAGTCATCAACTTTTAAAAAAAATATCCAAAAATATTTTCATATTTTTTGAAATTGTTTAAGCGTTAACTTAAGTGAAGAAAGAGTCCGATCAATAGATAATGAACAGTCAACTCTAAAAGATTATTAAGTTGAATATGTTATTTCATCATTGAAATTTTCATCGAAGTGCTTATTTTTTTTTACAAATAATACATTTTTCATGAAAAGTATTTTCAACTTCCATTTGAACAACATTTTCTTTAGCAGCAATCTTATCAGATTCAAATCCAATTTTTGGATGTATTTTAAAAAATAAAATAAGTGTTTTCAAGTGACTAATGGTATCATTAATAAACATGTCCTCACTTTACAACATTTTACTCACTTTATTTAGAATTGGTATATATTATACCAAATAACCATGTCAAACAAGAACTCAAAATTCCTAATGTTGAAAGATAAATTTTAATATATTTAAATGCCTAAAGGTTATCACATGTTTTTATAAAGTATTCTGAAGCGGCTTTTATTTATGATGTTTGAAATCTTATATATATTGCTTGGCACTTTTAACTTGACTTTCCTAACATGTGGCGATAGTGTTTTAAGTGCCAAATATTTCACATTATCCTAAAAAAAATTATATATATTATAACTCTTACTTTTTAAATCACTAATAGCAAGTTCAAGTATTTTAGAAAATATACTAACTCACCAAATAGTGTTTGCCCCTGGAGTATCATTAAAGAATACAAAATGAAATCTTCTACTTTAATTGAATTTACTAAGATATTTACATAATTAAATTATAAATGCTTCTACAAATAAAGACCGAACTAGCCTAACATTTACATTTTAATTAAAGATTAATAAGTTTTCTAATTGAACAGCGTTTGGTTTAATTCTACTTGAAATTTATGTGTTTGTAATTTTATATGAACTATATGTAATAATTGTTTTGACAGTCCTCATAATAGTCAAGCTTTAGACGATTGCCTACTTCACCTATAGTCAGGGCGCCAATCTGTCATTAATGTAGATCACGACAAATAAGATGTGCAATTGAGTATGGGATACAAGCCACCCTGTCAGAATTAACTAGGGCCAAAACTGCAACTGGAGCTAAATTGTGGGTAGTTGTGGGCATGGTCTGGTTCGAAGAGAAACAAATCGAATACCAATGGTATATCAGAAGTAGAATCATTGGTTTCGTTTCTAATTATGATATCGAACTATTTGATTTTGGTTCCGATTCATTCCATTCTAGTTCTTTCAATTGAAGTTCTCATATTCACTTTCGATGCAAATGTAATATCTAACTATAAAAGTCGTTAGTCTATAATTGCTTAAATATCTAATTCTTCATTAAAATGATTTTTATTGATGCTAATAATTTGCATTTCTCAAGTTCAACTAAA